GAGGGGGGGATAAAGAGGGGGGGGGGGGTAGAGAGAGAGAGGGAGAATAATAATATTCTATGATATCTGTTGATGGCTTGATAGCCAAGAGCCTCGACCAACACCTTAAGATAGTCACGTAATGATAGATCGTGGGATTGATGCAATAGAAATGCATTTAACGAGAGAGAGAGGGGGGGGGATAGAGAGAGAGAGGGGGGGGGATAAAGAGGAGGGGGTAGAGAGAGAGAGAGAGGGAGAACTAGAATGGGGTCCCTCAATCCCTTTTTAATTTCAAAGTGTGCCAAATGCATGCAAGTTTGCTTGTTTTTCTAAAACGAATATGTCAACTAATGAGGACACGCAATTTAAAAATATAATGTATGCCAAATGCCAACGACGAAATAAATTATATTGTTTCAAATTTTTTTAAACGATGACACTGTTTTACACTCTAGATGTTAGCGAATCTTTTGTTTCTGTGTAGTGACGGATTCAGAATAGGGAGTGTCAGAACCCCTATTCATCCAGTTTGTGTCATAAGGGAGCAAACTGCACAGGACAACAGCACCGCAAAGAGAAGGAAAACTTGAACCCGTATACCAACCCGTCTGGCCAGCGTGGTATAGCAGGCCAGAACCTCCTTTCTAAGGAGAGCCTATATCCAGCAGTGGACTACTTAAGGCTGTTGATGATGATGACGATGAATCTTTTAAAGAAATATATCCCCAAAGGGTTACTCAGAGGCTTATGAGATATCCACATTTGGGGACTATAAATTTCTTTACAATCAACGAAAGTATCCAAGTGAACTACCAATCAGATTTAAATAATTTAATTTGCAAACTCTCGAAAACAATACAATTGGCATCAAATTTAAATTATTTACATTTAAATGTAACCTTAAATTATGTGACCTGGGTGTGTTAAGTATAGTGATGTGCCGGATCGTTAACAAAGTATATCCGCGGATACGGAGCCGAATACGGATATTTGGTGTCAAGATCCGCGGATACGGATACGGATACGGATCTTAAGTTTCTTACTCAATCGGAGCCCGTGACCTTGATAGTTGTCGCCACTTGACGCTTTGCCGTTGATATTTAAATATTTCATGATTTTAATAAGCTAATACAAAGATGTTTGATTGATCTCATTATAAAGATAAGCTCTTTCAGTACCTACGACATGCGTAGTATTTAGTGTAGTACGATAAATGATTGCAATACAAAGGTGCCAAGTATTTGTTTTAAGAAATAAAAAGTAATCTGAACAGAATTCAATAGTTTTTCATAGCTACCTAATAACCATTATTCAGGGTTATTTTAAATTTACTGAAAACCTCTGAAGTGCATATTAGTAACATTATAAACAACAACTTTTCTTCTGGACTAACACCGAAAACGAAAGAAAAAAATTGTTTCTCCATACAAACTAACAACATTTGATTGGTCATTTTAATGGAGGACCAATTTTTTTTCATTTTGACGTTGGCCAGAAAAAAAGTTGCTGTTTATAGTGTTACAAACACATACCTAAGAGTTTTACAGTGAATACAAAATCACCTATATAGAATTTCATCTATGTAATATGTATTGAAAGATCCGCCAAAAAAGTCACGGATACGGATACGGTTACGGATCTCTCTTCTCCCTAGCAGAATACCGAATCGGTATTCTGCTAGTCTTAGTAATACTTTCCTACGAGAATACCTTATATTATGATATTTCTGAGATCGAAAGTAGCTCGGAGCTGAATGATAAACGAATTTTTATTACGAGAATTAACCTTCAGATTGTATTTTTGCATGTCTTTGAGAGTTTGTGAAGAGGGCTCGCTCACTGCGGACGCTAGTGGGCACGTCACAACGTCACTCCCACACCTCTGTCTGTATTTATATCACACAAGCGATTATTATGCGTAGATTAAACTGCGGCAGCGCATAAACAGTGTGAGCGTTCGTATGTACCTACTATATTATTTCGATTTCGTGCGCAAAGCGGGTTTTTGGACTTCGAAATAACAAGTAGAAGTTGTTTAAAACGTTTTTTAATTTAATTTGTAATGTAATGTAGTCTACATTTCATGTAATAGTTGTTTATTAGTAGTTTTATTTGGTTCCACGCGATTCTACTAGATGGCGTTGTACGTAACGTTGGTCAAGGTCAAGTACATAGTTTGATTTGAAGGCAAATAAAATTCTCATCGCTGGTGATAACGAAACTTTAATTTATGTAAAAGTGGCACATTTGTGTAAATGAAGTAAATTAACAGTTAATTTAATTTCTCTAAAGATTTGGAGATATTTCTTACATTTCATACTTACGTGACTCCTGAGCTGCAGACGTTCATGGGTGGCGATGGTCACGTTCCATCAGGTGACACGTCTGCTCGTCTGCCCCCTCTAACATAAAAAAACGTAAATGAACAGAAATCGAACCCACGACTTCTTTTGAAGTCGGTTCACTTAGTCCTAGCATAGGTGCGCGCTCAGTGTGACATTCTCATTACACCGTACATTATGTTAAGTATATTTTTCTAAAAGCAAGCGAGAAATCGTGACTAGAAATTTTAAACCTTCACTATACATTTCTGTCCATTGCACTGCCATCACCCAAGCGCCATCATATCAGCCAAACACATGGTTTAATTCCCATATTTCCCATCCTACAATCTAACCAGGTCGCCACAAACTCCTATCTAAACAGAACTATTATAATTCTCATCATGTCACGTCACATCAACAGCTTCTCACAGTCCACTGATGGACATAGGCCTTTCCTTAGAACTTAGGTTATGGCCTACTATACCACGCTGGCCAGACGGGTTTGTGTCAAGTTTTCCTTCTCTTTGCAGTGCTGTTGTCCTGCGTAGTTCGCTCCCTTAGTCGGCTCTTACGACACCCACGGGATGAATAGGGGTGGTGACACTCTGTAGTCTTAATCCGTCACCACACAGACATAATTCTCATATCATGGGGATTAGATTGTCTGCATACGTAAATATCTAATGATATAGCTAGTACATGTGAAATCTTATAATCATTTGATTAAGCTAGTTTTAAGTACTCTAAGTACGGCAAAAGATATAAGGCTAATAAATATTCATCTAATATCTAATCATTGGGACGATGGTGTGTTATGAAAAAATATGAATAAATAGCTGTTGCCCGTGTCTTCGTTCGCGTGGCATTTCGACAGACAGACAGACAAAAATATTTAAATTGGTTTTTAGGCACAGGAATCGTGCAACAACCGTGTAAGCATGAAAAAACCTATTATTTTGACATTACAAACAGACACTTCAATTTTATTTATTTGTATGTATAGATATAATTATAGTGGTTATGCTGAGGCATTTTTTTTAATATTTTGTTTCGCGATGCGTTGGATTGTTAAAAAAAAAACGTTTAAAATTTGGTTGCCATACCCACTGTGTAGTCTTGGTGTTAGAGCCGACTAAGTGAGCAAACTCTGCAGAACAACAGCACTGCAAAGATCAGGAAATCTTTAAACAAACTCTATACCAACCCATCTGGCCAGCGTGGTATAGTAGGCCAAAACGTCCTTCCTAAGGAGAGGTCTATGTCCAGCAGTGGTCTGTTAAAGGCTGTTGATGATGAAGATGATGTTCGGCGTGTTAAATAACTCAACTGATCAATATTAAAAGTACTCGATCAGATTGTTCCTTTTTCTCTTCTTAAAACTCTTACATTATAAAATTCTTCAATTCATATATCTGTTTAAATAATGCTTCTGTTGGTTATAAAATATTTTTGGATATTTTTAGTACGCAATCAGCTAATATTTATTCTCGTCTAAAGGTTGTCTGGAACAGATATTACGGGTGTAAAAACACCCCGTGGATGACTTCAAGAACTATGTAAATATTGTGATTTTTGACACAGTAATATTATTTTGTATAGCTATTCGTGACAGATATTAAAATTCATGAAACTAAAGGCACTTTACAATAAACAATGCTCATTTATTCAAAAAATCTTTGTACAAGAAATCAAAAACATGAATAACATATAAAATTTATAACTCATTGTTTAATAATATTACACCAGAAACAAGAATTATTCAAAGAAATTTTTATCGTCCTTCTAACTTTGGGAACACTTAAAGATCGACAATGTGTTTGTGTCTCGAGAGTTGTAGGTGTCCATGAGCGGAGGTGGTCACTTACCATTAGGTGACACGTCTGCTCGTTTGCTCCTCACACTATTATAAAATCCTAGGTTCAGGTTGATAGCAATAATCTCCCCAACTATGATAGTGCGACCAAATTAGAGCTGGTAAAATTTAGTCGTCAAATACTCGGTGTACCCTTTCGGTATTACAGGAGTGAATTTATTAATGTTTATTATTTATTTATTTATAATAATCACATTAACAACATAATTACAACATCACGGGGCGTCAAGAAAATAAATGTTTTAAGAAAAGTGTAGTTTCCCGCTATAAGCTCTAATTTTTGACAAAGAAGAATATGTCCAACAAGGAAAAAAGAGGAAACTATGTGACATTGACGCCATAGATAATATACTAATATAAGTTAATTGACGCTGTCTGAGACATAGGAAGTGTCACGCCGTTTTCTTTCGGATCGATTCAGAAATGGCTAATTTATCACTTAATTACACACGAAAAAAATATTTTGTCGAATTGATAATTGCTTTTTGATGTCGATTAAATGTACGGCCTATCTAGACGTGACGTTTTTGTGTGATGTAATGTAACATAACGTAATTAAATGTCTCATCATCAACAACAACTTTTAATAGTCCACTGCTAGACATAAGCTTCTCCTTAGAAAGGACATTTTGGTTTATACCACGCTGGTCAGACGGGTTGGTATAGGATTTGTTTCAAATTTTCCATCTCTTTGCAGTGTGTTGTCCTGCGTAGTTTGCTCCCTCAGTCGTCTCTTACGACTGTTCACCACACGAATAAATATAATGTAATGTAATATAACCTCTAATGTCATGTAATGTAATGCATATATTTTTCCCACAGATAATACAAACACAACACAAGGACAAAACAATGTCGACGGCAGTGCAGACGCAAGTGCTGAACGGGCGCATGAACGGACACACACATTCCCTTAACGGAGACGCACATGCTCACAATGGCACTAATGGCGACACGAGCTCTTGGGCAGAACAGTTCCTGCCTATGCCGTTAAAAATCGATGACAAAATAAGAGCACAGAAGGTAAGAGAATCTTTGTTTAGTGAACACGACGGTCAAGCAACTTTGCCGCAGGCTGGTTTCTGATGATCATTTAAATGAAAAAGCCATAAATATTTATTACCAATGTATCACAGCAGTAAGTATTGTTAAACTTGTTCTCAATTAATAAATAAATTCTATCGATAATTTGAGCTCGATATTTCGTTTGGTTTAGGTGACCACTTACCTTTAAGTTTCTTTGAGGATTTAAAAATGATTTAGAAATTACTTGCTGTTCTGCTAGTGGGGCGTAACGGTATTTACCTAACAACTAGCAGATGAATAACACTAAAAGGTTCGCTATAGCAAGGGGAAAAGTTCGAATGACTGAAATTTTAAAATATCCTTTTATATTTTTTTGACGACCGAATGGCGTAGTGGTTTGTGTAACGTTTGTGTCGCGGGTTCGATTCCCGCTCAAGTCAAACATTTGTGTGCATGAACCTTTAATGTTTGATTTGGTCTGGGTGTTTCTATGTATAATATGTATGTATTTACAAAAAAAAGGATATATATGCATTTATATCAGTTGTCTAGTAGCCATAGTACAAGCTCTGCTTAGTTTGGGACTAGATGGCATTGTGTGAATGTGGTAGAAGATTATTATTATTAATTGACATTTGTAGCGGATATATACATTTATGTTTTAACTACAAAATTATATTCTTGGAATTCGTCAGCCATCCTTCACTAGCTGCAAAGTCCTAAATATTCAGATTAGCTAGAAACTCTTTTGCCGTCTCTTTTTATAAATTTTTCACTGCAATTTACGGAAACAATTTTCCACTTGAAATACCGCGTAGTTGTGATACTCTAGGATAGTTATTTGCTCTGAATTTCTGTACCAAAATGTACCTATAGACTTTTTCTGATTTAGCAAGAGTTTAGGGACCCAACAGTTGCTTCGAATTATATAAAGGTTTGATTAACCAAGAGTCGACGGTTTGTGGAAATCGCCACACTCCCTATACAGTATATGTATAACAATTAATTCAGTTGTGATCAATGAATTCATTCCCAATTGGTTTTCAATTATACTGCCCGGCACTGACCTAGATTTTGGCCAACTTATTAGACGCATTCGGTCACTGACTTCACTTCATTAATAGCTGTACCAGACTATTAAGATTTAATTGATTTTAACCTTACTAAAATAAGAAGTTGAGTTATGACCATAATTAAACAAGTTAATAGTAATAAAGAAAAACTATTGGTAGTAGGGAAAAATTAACTCAATTTTTTTTCCCCTCCTGAGTTAAAATCCACGAAGCTGTTTAGACCACAAGATTTTCGAGACACTTTTTGCCACCGCACAACCAATCTGTGGAACGGGTTATCGTCTAGGGTATTTCCGGATCGATACGACCTTCAAACCTTCAAGAAAAGAGCGTACTCCTTCCTAAAAGGCCGGCTTGTGACTCCTGAGTTGCAGACGTTCATGGGCGGCGATAGTCACTTTCCATCAGGTGACCCGTCTGCTCGTCTGCCCCCTCTAATATATAAAAAAGTGTGAGTTTATTTCACATATACTGGATCGTCACGGTGACCGCGATCGGTGCTGCGATTGGCCGGCACTGAAATCTTCTCAAATCGCAACACCGAATGCGTTCGCTGTTGAGAACGAGTGGATATGAAATAAACTAGCACTTGGGCATCTGTGCGGGTCAATCACAACACCAAATGCGGTCACCGTGACGATTGAGTCCATGTGAAATAAACTTACACTTGACCCTGAGATGTCAAAAAGATAGACATACAAACACTCGAAAAAAGTATCTTTTCGTTAAGCGCAGTGAGGTAAAAATAAAGCAAAATTTGGTTTATACCGAATATCACTTTATTTCTGCTCTTGAAGCGTATAATTAATCTTTTTTAATAATTTAATTATTAGTCAAACTGCATCATATACAGGGTGTAAGGGACATCGTAACGAATACTGAAATAGTGTATTCAGACCATGATTCTGAGTAGAAAATCATTGTGTATATTCGTGTCAAAATATATACTAGATTCTGACCGAGGGTCCAGAGGCATCAGAGGCATGGAGATACCTTGATTTTTGAGGACGGATTAAGAATACAGAGTGTCACCACCCCTATTCATCCCGTGGGTGTCGTATGAGCCGACTAAGGAAAAATTACGCAGACAACAACACCGCAACATTCCAACCCGTCTGGCTAGCGTGGTATAGTAAGGCCAAAACCTCCTTTCTAAGGAGAGGCCTATGCCCAGCAGTGGACTATTAAAGGCTGTTGATGTGATGATGTGTGTGACATAGGTTACCTTATACTGCCATAACCGACATACACGAGGGCGGAGCCACAGGCAAAATCTAGTGTATAATAATAACATTTTGTAAATCTTTACACGGTCGTCTGGTCCCACAGCAGCAAAGAGTGTGTTTTGTTAATCAGACTGCTGAGAAACATACTTAAATACACACATACATATTGTAGATACGGAGGGCACACTGAGTCTCTGGATCTGGCCACTTACAATTTAAAAAAAACAGTTATGGATTAGGCTTGTGTCCACTAATAACAAATTGCTTGGTTTATAGTTTCAAATTATTAATGAAGAGACATAGATAAGAAAAAACCAGTCTATTTCTCATAAAAGTTAACGAAAACAAAAAAGGCATTAAGTCACGTGACAGCGAACACCAATCAGAAAGTGTTACGTCACGCCACGCAAAACATCATTGTTGTTGTTGACGTTTTCATACAACAGAGCAGGTTACTCCTTGTTGTTTTTCGTTTTTAGCATATTTTCTCACCTTAATACAGTTTCAGTTGACACTGGACACAGATGTAAACAGTTTTGTTTCGCAGACTGTGACGTCATTCAAGACGCCATGACACTATTCAGCGTTTTCAAGGGAAATTAAAAATGTGTTTCTTAAATACAAAATACGTAATGTAAATATTGCTTTTTCTTTAAAATATGGGTTTTGTGGAATAAAATAGATATTAAAGTACATATATAATTAACCAAGTTTTTAAATTGAGTCAACTAGCCTATTCAAAAATGGAACTCTTTGAAAACATGTTATTTTTTAAATTTGCCAGACTGTCATTTGTTTTTTCAGACTAACAATGCGTTTGCACACCGGGCTTATACAGATCAAATAGTACATTAAGGTTTTTATATCATTTAGATAAATATAATAAAGAAAGTGCATATTATTTATTAAATGAACGACATTCATTTCTTTTAGTGCGCTCTAAAATGGATCTTAGTTTTATTGTGTACCAACACCCATTTGACTGAAACGGTTCTTTGTTAGCAGATAAACTTATCAGACCTCCCAATAAAAGTAAACCCACTATTACATTACTGTTCGTTATCAATGGCTGAGTAAATTGTTTTACTATACGTAATAAGTTGAGTAATTCTAGATTTTATTTGTCGTGTCATTTTATAACTTATTTTGATCCTTTAGATAATAACACAGAAAACATTTATAGGCAATTTCAAGGCTTTTTTTTCGTCTTGAATTGTCGTATAATTTATTATTACATATCTTCTTTACATATCTCTCACACGCCCGTCTGATCCCAAACTAGGCAGAGCCTGTTCTATGGTACCTAACCAGACTGCTGATAAACATACTCATATTATTATACTAGCTGACCCGCGCAACTTCGTCTGCGTCTCTCAATAGTAATAAATTTTCTCCGTTTTTGAAACATTCTTCATTGGTGCTCCGCTCCTATTGGTCTTAGCGTGATGAAATATAGCCTATAGCCTTCCTCGATAAATGGGCTATCTAACACTGAAAGAATTTTTCAAATCGGACCAGTAGTTCCTGAGATTAGCGCGTTCAAACAAACAAACAAACTCTTCAGCTTTATAATATTATAGTATAGATTAATCTCTCGAGTTACATTTTCCAACAAAATAACACTCTTCTTCTTCTTGCTCTCATAACAGGAGTACTGATAGTTTTCTACATTTTATACATTATGCGCTGTAAACCCACTATATATTCTGTTAATTTGCAACCTGTAGATGTCGATACTAAATAAGTAATTCAAGCAGTTACCAATATACCCTTCATAATTATTATGTCCTCCCCTCTGGAGGACATAATAATTATTACAACCCTTTGCTTGTTTCTCACCTAACGGCATAAAAAAACAAAGGGTTGACTATAATTAAATGGTCACGTAGTACCAGAAAAATACGATTACGTGTTGTAACTAAATTCTGTGATCACTGCGCCAGTGGTTAGAGATTCTGAATGCTTATCCAGAAGCCGTTAGTTGGATTCCGTCTTCGAAAAAACACTATGTGATTAGTACGATTATTTGTCCTCTCTAGTAGTTTATCCATGAAATGTATGTATTTAGAAATATATAAGTATGTTTATCAGCAGTCTGGTTATCATAGTACAGGCTCTGCCTAGTTTGGCAAAGACAACGGTGTCTAAGATGTGTCAAGTTATACTTTTTAATCTTTCTATTTGTTTTTTTTTAATACATGAAACTTATATTATACACAATTTATAACTATTATTGCCAAGATTCTTACAAATTAATAACACTTTTATTTATTGATTATTAGTACAGTTACTTTTAGATATAATTTAGCTGTCTAACCATTAATAGCGACACATTGCAATACTCGTAGAGCGGCATTTTATCATGAAAACATTATCTAACTTTGAGAAGTGTCAAATATTATGACAGATGTGGTGCGCGGGCGCGTATTAAGTACTCATTCATCACTCCGATGAACATTCCAATTATAACTTTTCAGTTATGATCGATGATACATTCGTTATTTCTCTTTACTTGTTTCTCTATCACTGTGTGTACATATGTGTCGCACCCTTAGTAATTTTCTCATATATAAACAATTTTCTCGTCACAATTAATACTGTTATTTAACAGCCTCCCCAAAATAGCTATGTTAATATGAATTGCTCACTCCTGTCCGTGTGATGACGGATTAGGAATGCGGACGACCCCTATCCATCCCGTGGGTGTCGTAAGAGTCGACTAGGGAAGCAAACTACATAGGTAGGACGACAGTGCAGCAAAGAGAAGGAAAACTTGACACAAACCCTATACCAATTCGTCTGGCCCAGTGTGGATAATTAGGCCAAAACCTCCTTCCTAAGGAGACACCTATGTCCAGCAGTAGAATATTAAAGACTGTTGATGTGATGTGTGATGTGTTCCTAATGGTCGTAGCGTAATGTTGCCTATAACCTATAACCCTATTTCCAGCCACAATATACACTTCATCCGATAAAGATTCATTCAAATCCGAATGGTAGTCTCGAAGCCGTCTAGCTACTTAGCCAGATACATCGTTCTGCAGGGAAGTCATCTCACAGAAGGTCCTCAGGTACCTCTCCCTCCGAAAACCCGATGGAATGACGTCCCGAAGGGGTTTCCACAAGAAAAAAATATATCATCACCATCAACAGCCTTTAATAGTCCACTGATTGACATAGGCTTTGCCTCAGAAATGAGGTTTTTGGTCTACTATACCACATTGGTCAGATGGGTTGGTATAGGGCTTGTTTCAAGTTATCCTTCTCTTTTTTTAATTTTGTTACACCCACGGGATGAATAGAGGTGATGACACTCTATATTCCTAATCCGTTATCATACGTACGCCTCTAAATATCTAAAAGTGTTTTTTGATTATAACGCCATCTATTAGCCATGTCAAAGAATTATTTTATTAGATTATAGTTGGTACACAATATGTGTTTTTATCTCTTTCTTAATATTTATGTTTCCAGATAGAAGCACGTCTTCGCGATGTAGTACTAGATGGCAATGTTCTACGTCAAGTGGTGAAGGTGTTTGAAGATGAGCTGGAGCATGGACTTCGCATGGAGCCTTCCAGTCTTCAAATGGAGAATACATACGTTCCAGAGCTACCTGATGGAACAGGTATATAATATACGTTTTTATGAAATTACTAGTAAAGTCAAGAAATCGATCTTTCCACAATCTTACGTCAAGAATATTGCAGGTAAAATAATCAAAAACCGCGGTATTAAAATGCCTCAAGAGTTTTCCAGGGCTTTGTGAAAGAGGAGGAGGTATATTAAGAAGCTTGTTAAAGGCAAACTCCTAAATTTAAAAAAAAAAACAAAAATGACGGAGAAGAATATAAAGAGAGGAACAGGTATCTTAAAAACCTGTATACTATTAGAAATATCAGCATTATGCACACATTCTTAAATACACTGATACTATTTATTTAACACGACACTGACAACGTAAATGTACGAAGTTTTGAAGATGGTTAAGTAAAATGAATAAAATTGTGTAAAAACACAAAAAATACGTTTATAATATTGCTAGCTGACCCGCGCAACTTACTCAAAAGGTATAAATTTTCCCCGTTTTTGCAAGATTTTTCTTTGCTCGCCTCCTATTGGCTCTCATCATCATCATCAGCCTATCGCAGTCCACTGCTGGACATAGGCCTCTCCCATTGCACGCCACTTAGATCGGTTTTTGGCTTCTTGCATCCAGCTCTTGCCAGCCATCTTGCGCAAACCGTCACTCCACCTGGACTGTGAGCGTCCTACATTACGTTCACCCTTTGCCTTAGCGTGATATTATATAGCCTTCCTCGATAAATGGAAGAATTTTTCAATTTGAACTTGTAGTTCCTCAGATTAGCGCACAAATAAACAAACAGTTTCGTATCAGCTTCGTTATGATATATATTAGTACTACCTTCCACCCACAGCTTTGCCCGCGTGGATATTGGTAACTTTTTTCGCCCGATTTACATAGCACAAGATTTTTTGCGACCTCTTCAACAATAATAGTTATATTTCAGTCAATTTACATCAAACCATCATGAATTATACACCTAAGCCTTTCTCAGGAACCGGACTATCTATTGGTGAAAACCGTACAAAAATCCTTTCTGTAGTTCTTGAATTTATCACGTTCATACAGACAGACAGACGTGGCCGAGGGACTTCATTTTATAATATGTAAGGATAGATTAATTTGGATGTACATTATTGGATAAACAAATGCATAAAATACATCGTTACTTTTACAGAAGAGGGTGTTTTCCTGGCTTTGGACTTGGGCGGCACCAACTTCAGAGTTTTATTACTGGAGCTCCGCGCTGGACAACTTGTCAGAGAGCAAGTAGAGCAGTACCACATCAAGTAAGTTGCTTAACTGTACTCTTTTCTTGTCCAAGTAAAATTAATAATAGTAATAACTTTACACACTGACTTAGCAGTCATGGTCACTGGTCATGGATATTCTCGTCAAGACCTTATAGAGTTATCCTATTTGTCTGAACTTTTTCACGGTATTAATATAAATGTTGACCAGTGCGCAGTAATTTAGCTGTTAAAGTCGCCAAATTGATATTAAAACATTTAAATCTTATACATTTTATTGTATTGCAGTAACGAGTTGCGTGTCGGCACCGGTGTGGCGTTGTTTAACTTTCTGGCTGACTGCGTTCAAGATTTCGTGATGAAACTGGGCATGGAGAACGAGGAATTCTCCCTAGGTTTGCATCTTAACTTATATTTTACTTTCACTTTTCCATCAATAGTTCATCTTCTTCGTGGTCGTATGCTTCATTGATAAAGGTCTTGTCTTCTGCTGTTCTGATCGCGACTGTTAACGGGAGTCCTGTCAATAATGTGATATAATCAGACCATCGACTGGGTGCCCGACCCCAAGGTCTTTTTCCTTCTACTTTTCCAACTACTACCAGCTTGTCAAGATTATCCGGCTGGCTCCGGGCTGTATGGCCAAAGTAGCTTAGGACTTGCTGGCTGTTGTGTTGCCCAGAGATTCTACTGTTTTTCAATAAACTCCTTAATAACGATGCTTCGTCAAGGGTAGTGCAAAATATTGTTTTTAATTGAAAAAATTTTACAACCTAGTGGAGGCTATATGAAGCCGTTGGATCCGGGCCGGGAAGATCGGTTGTTGTGGATAACCTTAGGGGAGGCGTATGTCCAGAAGTAGACGTCTTTCCACTTAGTTGATGATGATGATGATGGATGATTCTGAAGCGTGATCATAGCTACTTAACAAAATTAAATAATATATCATATCACCGAGTGAGTGAAATTATCGCAGGCCCAATCTCCCGTCTTAATTTGGTGGGGGGCACGCAATGACCAACATCACACTTGTAACTATTGAGTTGTGGGTGTACAGCTTACCATAAGATCACCTGTCGACTCTTTGGTCTCCTATACCATACAAATAATTGTGATGATGATGCTTTTCTTTACAGGGTTCACCTTCTCCTTCCCAATGAAACAGCATTCCATATTGTCTGGAGAACTAATCACTTGGACCAAGAGCTTCAAATGCGGAGGTCTGGAGGGCGTGGATGTAGCTGCTTTGTTGCAGCAATGCCTCAGAGACAGGGGTCTGAACATTACTGTCAGGGTTCTGCTTAATGATACAACCGGGACCTTAGTAGCAGGAGCGCACATCGACCCTCAAGTTGCTGTGAGTAATCTATACTATTAATATAAAAGTAAAGAGTTTGTTTATTTTGGTTGAACAGGCTAATCTCAAGAACTACGTTTTCGAATTGGAAAATTGTGTTTGTGTTGGATAGCTCATTTATCGAGGAAGGCTAAAGGCTATATAACATCACGCTATGATCAATAGGCCCAGCATCGATGAAAAATGTTGCAAAAACGTGGTAAATTTATTCCTTTTTTTTAGAGCGGCAGACGACGACGTTACGCTGGTCAGCTGGTTAATCATCATTTTTGTAACACACGTAGATACACACACGCCTATGTTCCTGATGGGGACAGTAAAGGCGTATCAACCGCTACATTTTGCCCACTGTACATTTTAAACCAAGCTTAGTGCCAGCACTGTACTGTCCTAGAGTTAGATGGGAGAATTGGGAGTGTTTGAGCTGGCAATGACCTAATTTTACTAATGTACAACAAACAACAACAATAAGAAAGAATTTTCGGCAATTTCACCTGGTTGTATGCTAGTGTCAAGTTTTCCGTCTTTTTGCAGTGCTGGTGTCCTGCGTTGTTTTGCGCCCTTAGTCGGCTCTTACGACACCCACGGGATGAATTGGGGTAGTGCCATTCGTATTCTTAATCCGTCAGTACACGGACAAAACACAAAAACAAACAAAACTTGACACAAACCCTATACCAACCCGCCTGGCCAGCGTGGTATAGTAGGCCAAAACCTCCTTTCTAAGGAGAGGCCTATGTCCAGCAGTGGACTATTAAAGGCTGTTGATGTGTGTGATGTGTGATGTAAGCTAGTGTATGGAGGTTCGTCATTTTCAAAGTTATAAACACGAAATAATGCAATAGCAATATGGCAATAGCTAGTATTATTTATACCTCAAATTTAAAAATATATATTCCAATATTTAAGCTGCTTTTTTTAAGAATGATTGGGTTATTAGATGGTGTTGTGTTTCAGATCGGCGTGATACTCGGTACTGGTTCCAATGGCTGTTACATGGAGCGCGCGTCCCGCGTGAAGCATTGGGAAGCAGCACATGACCGCATCAAGGACGTGTGTGTCGATATAGAATGGGGAGCTTTTGGAGACAACGGATGCTTAGACTTCATCAGAACTGAGTTTGACAATGAAGTTGATGCGAGGTCGCTGCTTGCTACGTCTTTTACGTGAGTATCTCCTAACCTTACACTTCTCACACACGGTCGTGTGATCCCAAACTAGGCAGAACCTGTACTATGGTAACCAGACTACTATTAAACATACTTAAATATTTCTAAATACTATGTGTATTTATATACACCCAGACACAGAACAAATGATCCTGCTCATCACACATTTTTTTTTGTAAAAGACGACTTCCGCATTAGGAATATATCCTGTGTCGCGGGAGACTTTACAAACATATGTACATGAAACGGACACTAGAAACACCCAGAGTCAGAACAACAATTTGTGGATCACACAAAGTGTCGTCCCATGTGGGGATCGGACCCATAACACTCAGCGTAGTAGTAAGCGGCGTGGAGACCACTTAAACCACCACGTCATGCATATTTTTTGTATGTTAAGAGTACGAGGTATAGGTAAGACCCCTATCTGCTGAAAGATAGTTTTGCTGTAATTTTGGAAGTGACAGGTCTGGTGCCTGCTCAGTCCAAATATTTTGAATTAATGGATACGTCGATTTTACATGGGCTTGTGGCTAAATGGTAACCGAATAACACCTTGCAAAGTTAAGCAAATCCAGACCACTTTTTAAGACCAATCTTAGTAAATTCAGATTCCTCTGTGCCTCAGAGAGCACGTTAAGCTGTCGGTCCCGGATCCCATACGAACATCAGGGGTAACCGTTACAGGTGGTCGGAGCCCTAAAAAGTTCAAAAACAGTATTTCTCTGATTTTCTTTGATTGCTCTGGCATTATCATCTTTCTTCTCTTTCTCGACATTTCCTGGTTTTGATGAGAGAAGTCTGCGATGTAGACTTTAATTATCTCTATTAAAGGTATTTGTGGGGTATCTACATAGATATCTTTATGTTGTGGGTGCAATACTTCTTGTTTTATCCGTGTGGTGACGGATTACGAATACGGAATGTCACCACTCCTATTCATCCCGTGGGTGTTGTGAAAGACGACAAAGGGAGCAAACTAAATACGCAGGACAACAGCACTGCAAAGAGAAGGAAAGCTTGAAACAAACCCTATACCAACCCGTCTGGCAAGCGTGGTATAGTAGACCAAAACCTTTATCTAAGTAGCGGCCTATGTCTGACTGATGACTTCTTGTTTTGAGGTATGCGTTTGGATTTTGGGTTTCAGTTTCGAGAAGTATATCAGCGGAAAATACCTTGGTGATGTGCTGTCAGTTACTTTGGGTGGATTGGCCAAGGATAACTTGTTCCCGGCAGCACCTATTCCTGGCTCCCTGGAGACACAAGATCTAAGCTTATTTGAAAAGTAAGAAGTGGAATTATATATTTCAGAATCTGTTGATGAAGTTTTCGTAGTTAGATACATCATTAATATTAATTTATGGTATATTACCATCTGTTTAGAGTCGACTCCTAGATTAGATTTTAAATATTACTTTTGCTAGAACCCATCCCATGGGTGTCGTAAGAGCCGACTAAGGGGCAAACTACGCATGACCACAGTACTGCAAAGAGAAGGAAAACTTGACACAAACCCTATACCAACTCGTCTGCAAATCGTGATATAGTAGACCAAAACCCTTTTTCTAAGTAGAGGCCTATGTCCAGCAGTGGACTAGTAAAGGCTTATGATGACGATGATGATTTGCTAGAACCGTAGGAGAGCCATGCTTCGGTACAAATGGACCGGATTGATACAACGGCCTTACAGCAAACAGGTGTTCAGCTATTTTTTCTTTACCTTTCAGCGAGTGAGTGGCGTTAAAAACTTACTCAACTTACAAACTAAAACGTAAACTAAAATATTTGTTATTGACTGGGCCTCGTTACCGTGATATGACTCTAAATTTCATTTTCGCTTTACGCTCAATATTCAACTGCCGAATATTTTTTTCAGAGAGAACTGTGAAGGCGAAGTAAAGCGTACCCTGGAGGTGTTACGTGAAAAGTGTGGGTGTCCCACCATCTCGCACACTGACGCTCTTGTGGCGCAACACGTGGCACATGTCGTCTCCAACCGCTCAGCTCAACTTGTCTCCGTCTGTAAGTAGTTTGGATCATAACATCAGCCTATCGCCGTCTACTGCTAAACGAAGGACTGCACGGATGGCCTAGCGGTCACCTCGCCGCTTCCTAATGAGCTGAACGTTGTGTCGTTTCCCACATGGAACAACACTTTGTGTTGTCTATAAATTGTTGTTCAGAGTCGGGGTGTTCTTTGTGTCCGTATCATAAATGTTTGTAAAGACCTCCGCGATACAGGATATATTACTAGTGCGGGAGTTGTTTTTTTAAAAGAAAAATGTATCCCCAAGGAGCGGTAACTATCTTCGCCAGTCCGCACACAACGCAGGACAACAGATACAGCAATGCAAAAAGAAGGAAAACTTGACATAAATCCTATACCAACCCGACTAGCCATCGTGATATAGTAGGCCAAAACCTCCTTTCTAAGGAGAGGCTTATATCCAAAGGATTATTTAAAGCTGTTTATGTGATGATGATGATGATATGATCTTGATTTTATTCCTTTAAATTACATATTGACTTACGTTCAGTTAAATATACAAACTTTCTCTCCCTTTTGGACTATTTATATCGATAATTTGTTTTTTTTCAGGTATATCAACGTTACTGCGCCGAATTGATCGACCCCATGTCGTGGTGGCAGTTGATGGGTCCGTTTTCAAACACCACCCTCGCATCGCCAGCCTTATGGACAAGTACATATCTCTGCTTGCACCAAAGAAATCGGTATGTTGTTGTGAAAGTACATATCTTATAATATTATAATAATAATTTTATTTTCAGACATATATACAGTCCATAGGTTGTTTAGTAATGGGTTAGAAACAGAAAGTACTTAACGTCTTATTCTGAACGGATTTGAATTGAACTGGGTTAATAATTATAGGACTAATTACATATATTGACATCGATTTAGTACTGAACCTCAGTAATAGATGGCGCTGTCAAGCGGTATGACTTGTAACTGTTCTTAAATACATAAAATATATTTTTGGATTCTCTGTGGTTTCAATTCTGAAGTCGATTATAACATGGTTAGGAGTAGAAGCTAGTATTATAATATACTTATATACGTGACTGAATAAAGCAACTGTATTTGCAAAGATATTATGTCCATAAATAAAATTTATGTCATCCATTTCTACCTTTGTGCTTGTGATAGTGCCTACTAATTATTTTAAACCATATATATGGGCCAGCACTGGGGGATAAACACTCTTTTTATTACCCAATAAATTACAATAGCTCTCATCTCAAATATGTTTAGAGGATTGGTTGTAATATCCATGTATTGTATGGAACAAAGGGATTACGGGCACGCTAGCCACCAGATGGTATCTAATGGACTACCCATGTGCAAGGTGTCCATGGGTGGGTGAATGGGGGTCACAAGAATTAGGGCAGGGAGCTGGTTGTTGGGCTCCTGTAACCTGAAAGTATTATTTAACAGCGATAATTGAGGTCTATGATTTAACTAAATATAACTGAAATATTGCAGTTTACACTGATGGGAGCTGAAGACGGCAGTGGTAAGGGTTCAGCGCTAACGGCAGCCATCGCCGCTCGCATCGCAAAACGTGATTCTTCGTAACGCGCGAACATCTCCGAGCCCGACACTCGCCCAACGTTCAGCGCCATCTGCATTTCATATCGCGAAGTACTGCAAGGAACCGCCATACTAATGATGTCATCAATATTTGATGATGTTACAAAATGATATTGATAACCGTTATGTGATTTTTTAAGCTCATTTTATAGTTTATTTATGTGTTCGTTTAATAGTGTGTGTGTGTGTGTGTGGGTATGATATAATTGTTAGTGTTTGAGTTTGATTGTAAAGGCAGTTACACACTGATAGTAATTGAATAGATACGCGTACTGTGATTCTCGGGTACTATAGTGTTTTCTGTGTGTAGCATATTTTTACACATTATTGCTATATTGCCAAAGCCATAAGTGTCTATTGTCATCGTTTTAGACTCTGTTCGAGACCATATCACTTGTATTCCCTTCGTTCAATAAAACATAAGGAGTAATTCCTACATTTAAATATTGTAATTGTCTTTTCTAGACAGAAATATACCCAAAAAAATCAATTAATATATCAACAGTACTTCTGTGTATGTTTGTAAGTCTGTGTCGCTCGCTAGTCGAGACAATTTTGTGGTAATAAGTACATTTATTAAAAAAATACTATATCTTTATAGACTCATGGTATATATTACAGATAGTACAGGTAGACATTTCAATGGTTATATTCTGTCTCTTTTTTAAATGTAATATACAATAGGATAGAGGAGAACAGTGCTATTATAAATGAAAAGAATGGTGTGTAGTGATGACTGAAAGATTAGTTATAAGTTATTTGTAGCATCAGAGACCAAAATACGAATAGAATGTTTGAAAAAATGTCCGTTGAGGTTCCCGTCTGATTGGCTTCTCCATCCACAGGAGTTACAGCATCTCAGAATGTTTCTTCATCATCAGAGACTCGCAACAACCTTTAGGCTAGCTTCCACCTTTTCGTCTTCGCAACTCTTTCTTCATTTTTCGATCTGTAGACGATCAGTTTCTCAAGGAGGGTTAGCGTTAGGTGTGTACCAAGATGGCCATAAAGAATCTAGACAAAACCCGTTGCAATGTTACATATTACGCGGACCTCAATTAAATTAGGAAAAAAGACAGGAAAATGACGTTTGATTAAAAATATTGTTTTCTGTTTAATTATATTAAGAACGTCTGGAGTGATTATACTCCTGTGGCGACTTCCACGTACGGTGAAACGAAGGAACATACTATAGTGCCCTCTAACGAAGACACACTGAACTACGGAATAACCGCTAATCCTGTATCGCGATATAAACAATTCTCTCGCCGATTAGCATAGAAACAACTTCCCAACATCAACCGTTGGGCCATGGCCTGCCAGGCATGATCATCTCGCCTGATCGGAGGATCCTCTCTTTGTGTTGAGAGAGAGGGAAAATCTAAAAAAGTGCTATCGACTTAAATCAATGGTGTTCAATCAACGATGAAAAAAGAAAAGTTTTTGTCTCTGGTTGCCAACGGGAACATATCACGTGCCATACTCATTTCTTATTTAAAATAAAAGATATTGTAAATATTAAAATAAATGTTTTAATATGTTTGCTATGTAGCTATTCAGATTTTGATAAAGCTGATTAGAATGAAGTAAGTTAAACCTCAACAGCCAGCAAGACCATAGAGATATAACCATAAAGAGAACACGGGGTACCGCTGCCTATAATTGGAAGCGATACAGGCAACGAGAGAGATGGTTGCCCGATAGTTCCCTCTGTCTCTGCTTAGCTATGCTGCCATTGGCTACTTATTACCCCTCATATTCCCCAGCTCGGACAGAGTTTGGCCAGAAAGAGATAGAGGATACTATCTGCTATCCATCTCTCTCGTTGCCTATATTGTAAGATTGGGACTCTTGTTCCCTCTAGGTTGTGTCTATGAGCAAGACAACCGCGTCGTTTGTGTTACAGGTGTCTATGGAAAGCATTAGTCACTTATCAGATGACCAATCAGGTCGTTTAATTTATTTTAAATGAAATGAAAAGAGAAAATATGAGAAAAAGATGATAAAAGGGGGTAATCTTTATTGTTGCAACTGAATTTCATATTGTTTATAAATAAGTTGAATTATAATGTGTACTGGTTATTTGATTAGATGTTGCAGGGCATTAAATTACCACAGTCCAGCTGTAAATTGGACATATTAAATTGTAAGTGTAATTAAATATACTTAGGAATATATATAGAAAAATATCTAATGTGTTGTTTTAATTGAGAAATTATCACAATTGTGAAATTATGATCGCTTAATGGACTAGGCGAATGCCGAAGCCATTAAAAGAACATACATACTCGTCTTTTTATTTAAAAACAAAATCAATCATTGGGTTTGTGCAATAAACTCTTGTAAGTACTATTAAGTACGAACGATTAAAATGCTTCAACTCCTTTATTTTGTAAAATACCTAATTAAATAAAACGTTTATCAACCAAATTTAAAATCAAAAGGGTTTTTTTTTATAAATAAATAAAGAAAAAAGACCCAACGACGAAATTAAAATTAAGTACATTGTTCTGTAATAAAATATTTGAATTCACAACAGTGAAAACGTAGCCCAAAATTATTGCTGACAGACACTTGGATACGAAACTAAAAGATATAATGCAAAATATGCAATCTATCTTAACAGACAACAACTCATAGAAATAAACAAATTGAATTAGAACAGAAGAGTAAAGCAATACGTGTTACTTGACTCTTTTAACTTGGACCAGATATTTATAGCCTACGTTTTCTGCATTATCTGCCTAATTTTGGCAGATGTTAGGCAAAAATACTGCGTCTTTGGAGCCAGAGCGTCTTGTCTATGGCACATAATCTCCTAGTTTATTATTGTAGGTTTCATTTAAAAAAGAATTTAATTTATAAGCTGTGGTTTTAAATTTCTGTTTTAAATATGTTTAGTTCTTGATCTTTTATATTATAATGCATTTAATCAAAGTTTTGAGTTGACTGACATTGGTTCAGTTGTCTATAGGACATTTTTTTTTTAATATATCCTAGACTAAACAGAATTCTTTTAATTATAAATTGTTACCTGTTCTGTTTTATTTTTAGTTGTGAAGTAAATAAGTTTTTAGTTATTATTATTATTGTATTTTTTTGTAAAATAAATTATAAGGTATTTTTTAAAGTGTGTTTTACTGTTGCTTTCTAGAAATTATCAGCAGTGCTATTCTCTAAGGAAAAAGCCATGCGTACAGCGCTGTTTCTTTTACGTGTGGAAACCCCCTCGGGCCGTCACCAAACCGGGGTTTACGGCGGGATGGTGTGTCGGAATCGGACCTACTAAAACCACACGTTGTGCCACTCTGCACCTGTAATAGGAGGGATCCGGGAACTGTTGTTTATTAAGACATCCGGACCCCTCCTAGCGCCTGCCCGCAAAGGCGCGGTCACCACATCGTCTATTACGCCGTTATAGTGGGTGGAGGGGAAAACCCGTCCCGTCCACCTGCGGCCACACTCAGGGTGGCATGAGGCGGTGGTAAGCGCCGGTTTGTTGGCGACGGATTAGGTCCGAGTGGAGGTTGTCCTTCCGGGCCCTCTCCGCAGCCTCCTTCTGCGAGATGACGTCTTCACAGAAGGATGCGACCTCTGTGAAACATCTGTCACTACCGGTCATGGAGCGTACGACGGCCGGTAGCGAGAGATAGTTACTTACCATCAAGTGATCCATCTGCTCGTTTGCTCCAACATACTATAAACATTTTTTTGTCAATAAATTGCTACTATTTTAATTTAAAAAAAAAGTAAAAAATTATATATATATATGTGTAGGTACATAGTTATAGCTATTACAAGTCCTAATAATAACTGCATTTAATTATTTTTAATCAATCGATAAGTGCCCGACATATTTATAGTAAACTCGTCAAACCCACTCACTGAGGTTTTTATTCTAAAACAAATGTGTACGCATATATCCAATATTCTTTAGCACCCTTAGTTAATTTGAATGTAATCATAAATGTTTACAGCAAGACAAGATTGCGAAGACCCATGTGTCGACGAGTGACGAGCACTCAGCGTTGCATTTGCTAAGTAGTAAGCATTACGTATTTACAGACTGTCCGAATTCGTAGTTGTTTTCGGGAGCATTAGCCGACAATTAGCCGGGCGAGCCGAGCACCTGCAATTGGTGCTAGGCGAATAGCAAATACCCATACTTGCTTTTCCGAAAATAATCGGATCAGCGTTCGGCGAGTCTCTCGTGTGTGGTCGCGGCTTAAGTTTTTTCCTCATAAAACCCAGCTATTTATTCGTAAATTACCGTGAGAACGTCACGGTGATAATGTATCATCAACAAACTGATTGCTACCACATTACTACGTGTGTAAACCTTTGAATAAAATGCGCTGTTATTTGCTCACTTTTTTATGTATTTAGTTGATCTGTTGTTGTGTAAAAATTCCTCTGTCCTAACACAGTTTTAGATTGTAGAAAGGTGCAAGATTTTAGTATGGAGTAGTCAGAAAATAGAAAAAAGTGTCGTTGGGACCGTTCCGTGTGGTGACGGATTTAGAATACAGAGTGTCACCACCCCTATTCATCCAGTGGGTGTCGTAAGAGCCGACTAAGGGAGCAAACTACGCAGAACAACAGCACTGCAAAGAGAAGGAAAACTACAAACCCTATACCAACCCGTCTGGCCAGCGTGGTATAGTAGGCCAAAACCTCCTTTCTAAGGAGAGGCCTATGTCCAACAGATGACTATTAAAGGGTGTTGATGATGATGATGTCGATGGGACCGCGTTGTCAAAACATCGACGGTGTAGAATTCTTCCTTATTCCACGAAATGCGCATGCGCATTAGATTTTTTTTAAGAAATAGGGGGCAAACGAGTAGACGTGTCACCTGATGGAAAGTAACTAGCGGCGTCCTTGTACAACTGCATCTCAGGAGTCACAAGCGCGTTGCCGGCCTTTTAAGTGGGAGTACGCTATTATCTTGAAGGTTTAGAGGTTGTATCGGTCCGGTATCGGCG